CTATGTACTCTACTTTACAAGAGCAGGTGAACTAGTAGATACACATAAAGGTTATCAGATGAAGAAACTTGTTCATCACGAATGTAGAAAACGAGCTCCCACTAGCGAATGTTTTTCGCAGTCTTGCAGCGAAGAACGCTCTTCTTACCGTCACCATCAACCGACTTTTAATAACATCAGAAGTTTGGTCACCTCTAACTTATAGATTCACATAGAGATATTTCCGGACTCCTTGTAACCATTTCTCATGTTCTACATGAAGCGGCTCGCACAGCCGTTTTCAGACGAAGTTTTTGCATACTAACTATAAGGCATTGAAACCAAAATCTGATATCTATCAGTAAAAGCTGCCTTTTCCCACTCAATATACCGATACGTTTCAGAGGCTAATTTCCTCTATATCTAACTCTAATAAATAGTATCCCGTCAAAAGAATATTTAATAAAGGCTAAATCTCCCATTAAAATTGTGGATTAACCCGAGATTGTTCAAAAGCCTGAACAACAGTTGTAGAGATAATTTAGATGTTAAAAATTAGCAAGATCCGCGACCGTGCAGGAGACAAGCATACAAGGAAACGAGTACGTTTGTGTTAAAAATGCATATGTATTTATGAGTTTAATGGATTGCGGATAAATGGTTGATGGCCTGTACTTACAACTAATGAGAGAATAAATAAAAATAATATATTTGTAATATCCCAATGAGTAGAAAATTGGATTTTCTGACGTTTCGTGACTTAGTGTAAGTCACTTCTTCAGAGAATAAATAACCAAATTAAAATTAATCCAAGTTTAAATAGTACAACGGAACAATGCAATAATAATATTGGATCAATCAAAAACGGGTCTGAACAAGACAAAACGATTATTATCACAAAAGCCGACAAAGGCAACACAACAGTAATCATGAATAAATCAGATTATATTAATAAAGCTCTTGAACATCTCTCAACAGGACCATATGAAAAGATCAATCCAAAAACTTCTCTAACGATTAAGAATAAAGTCAAATTAGAAACAAATCAACTTCTGAACGAGCTAAAACCAATCATTGGGGTCTCGCTTTGGTTTGCGTTGCATCCCAAATCATGTAATGTCTCACGGTTTTATGGCTTACCAAAAATTCATAAACCAGATATTCCTCTAAGACTGATAGTAGACTTCACAAACACTTCAACATATGGATTATCAAAATATTTAAGCAACATATTAAAACCACTGCAACTCAACTTACATAATATAATTAAAGACACATATGACTTGAAATCAAAATTATCCGGATTAGTCATCGAGAAGAATGAAATCATGGTAAGCTTTGATGTCGTTTCTTTATACACAAGTGTTCCCATTGATAAATGCTTAGAATTCATTAGTGGTTTACTTGAGAACGACAATACTCTTCCTGACAGATGTCCGTTGAGCATCAGTCTAATCATGAAATCATTAAAACTTTGCTTAAATTCAACGCTATTTACTTTTAACGGTATTTTATTCAAACAAACTAACGGTGTAGCGATGGGATCCCCCGTGTCCCCGATTGTAGCCAACCTTTTTATGGCATACATAGAATCAAATATCTTCGCCCACAACATTATACCACGAATTTGGCTTAGATATGTAGACGATACATTTGTTGTTATAAAAAAGACTCATCTAAGATCTTTTTCAAAACGAATTAATACACTTTCATCGCACATCAAATTCACCAATGAAAATGAAAATGCACATGGTGAGCTACCATTCTTGGATTGCTTAGTAAAAAGAAATCCAAATGGAAGTCTAAACCTATCCATTTACCGAAAACCGACACATTCAAAGCGCTATATTGACTTCCATTCAGCACATCCTTTCAGTGCTAAGATCTCGCTAGCCTTAAATCTTTTTAGAAGAGCTAACAAGATCGTTACATCAGAGGAAGACAAACAAAAAGAACAAATGAATATAGTTAGCATCTTACAATTTAATAATTTTCCTATGAAGATTATTAGAAGCATATTAAAACAAAACAATTTATTACATTATAATAATGATTCGAACGAAATGCCATGGATTGGTACTGTAGTTCTACCATACCGTCATGGCACAACAGAAGAAATACAAAGAATCTTAAAACATCACAGAATCAAAGTGTATTACAAAACAACGGACACACTACGTAATACTTTAGTTCGCCTGAAAGACAAAATCCCTTTCATGTCCACACAGAACTGCGTCTACAAATTAGGTTGTATCGATTGTGATGCCTATTATATTGGAGAGTCATCCCGCGAAATCGTGACTAGAGACAAAGAACATATTAGGTACACAAAGAAACCTCCTAACAATCCGGTAGAATTGAACCAACTTCAAATTAAATCGGCAATAGCAGTTCATGCCATTTTCAACAACCACCAAATCGATTTTAAAAATATCAAAATATTGCAAAAAGGCTTTTCCAACTACAAAGAAAGGAGGGTAGCTGAGGTGTTCCATATAATGCTTAATCCTACTTCTCTCAATAGAAAAGAAGGCCTTACCTTACATCCTACTTGGACCATCTATCCTAACCATTCAGTCTGATCGTATTTACAATTTCACACTTTCATATTACAAATTTAAACTCTATCCTTTCTTACCATAAAGGTCACACAAGTTTTCATTCTTAAACAATGCACATATACATACACACACAAATTTACATACTTATCACTTATGAATCACCCTGACAGAAATGACAAGACATCAACTTGTTCAGACCTGTTTTTGATTAATCCAATATTATTATTGCATTGTTCCGTTGTACTATTTAAACTTGGATTAATTTTAATTTGGTTATTTATTCTCTGAAGAAGTGACTTACACTAAGTCACGAAACGTCAGAAAATCCAATTTTCTGCTCATTGGGATATTACAAATATATTATTTTTATTTATAGCAATCAACCCAATGCTCAATTTATTCGAAATTATCAAATCAAACCTTGGTAATGACACCTATAATGAGAGAATAGATCAGATCAATGTTCAGACACGCGCTCAGTCACACTCACACATAATTTTACGTAGTGGATTAAGTGTTCGAATTACATTGGGCAGATAAATAATTCAACAGTTGAATGGGGTTACTAAAACTTCAAACTGTCGCTGCTGAAGCATTTAACTGCAGATACAATTCCCTTTCTATTAGGGTAAAAATGGAGTGATGGGCTTCAAAGAGGATATTCGCAGTCGGTAGTACTTAAGCATACTGATGAAACAAACGTACAGTAGTTACTGGGGGCAGTGTCCTAACAACTTCGGGATCATGTAGTTTTACTATCTCACCACCAAAAATCACACTACAGCCATTTACCTAAAAAATGCAGTCAATGAAGGTGAGATTTTACGTAAATCCATCGAATGAAGAAAGAGATTTAACCATGCTGAAGTGGGCATGCCAATCAACTATAAGCAGCGCAGAGCTTGAGATAAATGTCCATAGGTCAGGGTGTCAGCTTTATATCAATAAAGTCAAAGAGATATATCAAGATAAAAATGCCAGAGACATTTAAGCGGTACCGGTCTTCCAGACTACAGATACATTCGAATCCATCACGGGGTGATGCAAACTTTTCCACGGGTACTATGGCGTATCTCCACTTTCTCATTTTCTGAGAGTAAAAGAAACTTAGAAAATATCATTGTAAATACCTCTTCATGTCAATTCACATAAATGTGTGCGGATGATCAATATCGGCTGCATGTCGCCTAGTCTGCTTTGATGTCACGTCTCCTGGGTAAATCCCAGCCTAGATTGCGCTGTCGTGCTATCCCCTTCATCCTAATACCTTGGCAATTACGTTAGTTGAGAGGAATTCCATTTAGCCCTAGATAAATCACCGTGCATGTAGGAAAAGTTCACCGACCCTCGTCAACGTCAAGAAAAACCAACCAGCAAGTCATGGACTAGTCTAAGCGGTAGCTTCAGCATTACGTATATTCTACTTACTCCTAATAATATATTTCTATACTAGTGTCGTCTTTGTCCTATGCGGCCATCGAAGTATCCACAGTGTCTGAATAAGACGGAAGGGCAAGAAATGTCACGTTTTAACCGCGAGATGTTACTACCATGAAAGACAGACGCTCATGCCACTCCTGAGAGACTTGCGTAGGCCCCAATCAGGTACATCAATCGTCTACATTGGTGATCTAAGACTACATGTAATAAATAGGATTTTAACGAAATAATCGAACACACAAACCGATTGGGTTTGTATAGAGTGGAAACACTGATATGATGTGGGATCGCCGAATTCATGATTGTAATCCTTCAGTGTGACGAAGTTTGGCTAACTATTCAACGTTTATTGACATACCGATTGACCTAGAAGGGGTTTCGCTTGATGAAGCATTTTCTAAGAGTTCAGCATTACCTCATTGGTCTCACACTTGTTGTGTAGAATCTATGTAAAATACTTTTGAACTTGATTATAGAGATGCAGCTTATGCTCAAGTTGTATGGATTGGGACCGCCGCAAGTCTCATGAATATTCGCACAATATCATGCAGTTTTCTTATTTCATGTTAGTTCATCTATTAAAAACTCATGCATAATTCATTTTTTATATTCTGCTATTCTGCTTTAAGACGAGGAACGGCATAACTCTCACTTAATCAGTCAGATGCTAATACAAAAGATATCATTGCCCAATCAAAACAGTATAGTGAGCCAAAAGTGAAAATGAAGATAAACAACGGAGCATAAAGCAAACAAATCATTCAGTTTTACTATTGCAGTCATATATCTAAAAAAAACGCAGTACTGAATTACATGATTGTCTAATAAAGATATGTTAGTGATTTCAACAAAAAAACAGCGGAAATATTCAGCAACTTCTGAGACTCTTAAAATCCTACAGATTACAGTTAGTTGGTACTGGCTGGAAACAAAAAGTTACTAAACAAATTCTGATAACATTGTTTGTATTTTTTGAAAGATGTAATTCGTTGCTATCCTACTTTTCAAAGTGCTCGCAACATGTGCGAGGTAGATGTGAAAATCATCAAACGAACTCAAGAAACCCTTGGAAAGTTAATCAAAAAGCCAGTCCTTACTGAAAAACTTTTGTCAAGACCTCCATTTAGATTTCTTCACGATATATGTACGTCAGTGAGTAAACAACTAGATTTGTATTGTATAATTCTTTAAGGTTATTAGGTCAACAGGATTAATGAAGGGTTTATTTAACTCAGAAGAGTTGGAAGCTGATAATGTCAAAGACAAAGACAAAAAGTTGGCATTTCTTCAAAAGTTGGTAGATTTCTTGTCGGTAGTGCATGAACGAACTATTCCTGTCAGAATAATGAGCATTGTTGCTGGTAAGGAGGCTGAGAAAACGAATGAGATGCTGTTTTTACTAGCTGAAGCTGTCAACAAAAAGGTTTGATCAAATAACTTATGATCGTTTAGATCAACAACGAAGAATATGTTGCCCGAGTTCTCCAAGGAAGTAAAGTCGATGATGTTAAATCAAGTGCTGTTGGAAAGCAAGTATCAGAAACTAAGCATTCAAAAAAAAAGCCTGGTATGGAGTCAAAGTTCGTGGATCATCGAACAAAGGTGACTCAAAGTCACCGGAAAAACAAGTCAAATGGGGAAAAAGTAAATGAAATTGAAAACAAACTTTTCGTTGATAATAGTAAAGGTATACAGTTTGCTTGTTGTATATGAATTATCAGGGGTGCTCTAGTTGAGATAATGTCTTAACTTGCCTAACTTATTTTCTGCATGCATCAATCAGCCTAAAATCACCAAATACTTTACAATTTAGTTTTGATATTTTATACTCATGCTTTGAATCGTAGTTCATATGGCACAAAGACATTCGAAGTACGTTGTTCAAAAGTATACTGAACAACAATCAGATTTACATTTGTCCTCTCAAAGCCGGTTGGAGGTATGTGTTAGTATTTTACTGGTATTTTATGCATGTGCCCACTCTTGAATAAAGGTGCAATTTTATCCATTAGTCGATTCGAACAGTTTACTTTTCTGTCAAAAATCCTGTTTACTACTTATATTTTTTACGGTTTTTAATCTTGCCCGCTAGTGTAAAGGAAAACGGATGTATTCAACCCAAAATTTTTTCTTAGTATACTGTGAGTCATCCTAAAGTCTTTATATAATCTACGGCAATACTGTGTTAAAGGTCAAAATTTTCCAACCAGTCGTTGCAAAATAAATCAAACGCTTTGTGACACCACGCGAGTAATGTTCCTCTGCCATAATACCAATCTATAATCATAAATATACCCTGGAGTAGGTTGATTTTTCATTAATTTGTAGCAGAAATTGACACCACACAGTCTCTTTACAACCTGTAATGTACCGTTTTATTCTGTGGTGTGGTCAGACTAGTGGTGATGAGCCTGGTAGATCAGATGCCGTTAATGGTCAATTCGAGACAATAGTGTCTTTCAGTCACAACCATATCACGAAAGATAACCAAATGCCTTTGCCGTATAAAATAAAATTTCAACTTCACATAAATATACCCCAGAAGTTACGCACAAAGTTGAAATTTCCGGAAATTTATTTCGCTTGATCTAATTTATGACTTGAAATTCGATCAAACTTATCGGTTATAATATTTACAAATTAGTGAACATTATTTATTGGTTTATTGTAAAAAACATCAGTTTTGTCGAATAACTGTTACATTTTAGTAGTTATCTCAAACATCATTTTTCCAGTACTTTGTTTATTTGCAATATATTGCTGAATGCCTCAAACCCACTAAAAATAGAGGAATTACAAGCGTAAATGTATAATATTGTTCATGTTGCTTTGGTCCCTTGTTAGCGGTTATATGTTATCTTAACTGATTAACACCAGACTATGCTATAACATCAAAGAGGACCATCTTGAAGTCGCTTCAGCACACATTTTTATAGGTATTTTTCGATCCATGCAAAAGTAAGGTGTTATCTTCTGTTATGCTGCTTCTTTTAAAACACAAATGAAAGCTGAGCGAGTAATTTTGAAGCCTCTTAGACTCCATCTGTCTAATTTATGTCATCTACATCGTAAGGAGAAGTCAGACTACTAGTTCAGTATACTTGATAACAATTACAACAGACTATGTAAACACAATGTAAAACTTTCTTGCAGTTCAATCAGTTACCAAACTATATATACTGACTAAGATCTTGTATTGATGTCATAGTATATTAATTTTTAAAAAGTGCGTGGAGTCGATTAAACTGCTAGGTTATTCAACACATTTATTTACAGAGTTAGACCTTCTTCAAGTTTTGTATGACGTTTTCCAAACAGATTGTTTATATGGAGGTTTAAAAATTATTTGAAGTTATATTGTCATTTGTTTAGAGTGACTATAATTTCTATACAATCATCAACTTATAACTAAATTATAGTTCCTCCGAATACAAAGTATAAAAAATATTTAGAAGTCTCCTTGTCAAGGGTTTTCCGTTTAATTCAGCTGCATAAAAATATTTTCATTTTAAAACTGAATAAAGTTTTCAATTCTGACACTCAAAATTAGTCCATTTACATTAAAACTGGATGGCGGACTGGCGACCTTGTCTAACTGTACTCCCAGTGGTTGGATTGTTTAAACAGAGTTGAAATTTTGATAATTTAATATATTATTTATAAAATTCTTGACGTTTAAAACTGGGTATAACTTAATAAGTCAAGTATGCTTATGTATTTTTGTGGGAACACTAACTTTTTGAATATTCCAGGGGACATAAAATAGCATCCTAACAGCACGCCAGTCACTAAAAGAATGTGGGAATGTCACACAGTATTTCACGTTGTAGGCTACTTTAAATTGACTTTTGTTTTGATGCGATTCTTATATTTTGCATGTAAACGATTATTAATATGTAATTGAGTAGGTTTATGAAAACACTGACCTAGGTACATCATAGGAATTGTAATGCATCTCGTGCTATTTTTAACCGTTTAAGAGGACCACTTTGTGATACATTGTTGCCTTCAGTCATCTTTATCCTATTGCTTCTGACACAGCGCTAAACGTCTGTCTTACTGCTGTATTTAGCAGAAATAAAGTGAATTAGCCTTATTTAGCAAACCTTAAACGGATTTAGATTGATAACTGTAATAAAAATTAATATCCGCTATCTGCTATTCGTTTTTTACTATTTACAATTAGGCAGATAAACTGAGGACTCTTCGTATCGTTCTTTTGAAATATGGAATTCACGCACCTATTCAAACCTAGGTTAGTTTCTGAAGGTATAAACCAGAGCACCCATATGACAATCAAATGGTCATTATAATCCCATTAATTACTTTTCACTTATGTATGTGATAAGTTCTGAGCTTTTATCCATGCAAGCAGTTTTATATATACGCAACTTTTCATGTGTCCTCATGATCTTATTCGTGCACTGAATTTCTGCATTGCCTACACTTGCTCAACAATTGATTTAGCGATTAATTAACATATCAGTCCCCACGTAGATACGATGGATTCCAACGTAAATCGACATCACAATCAATTAACTTTGTGTAAAATATATATATTCCCAACACACTGTGTATTAGACTACTTTATATTGCGTTTTCGTTTGAATTTCGACAACACAACAAGCATAACCAAGGAAATATACAAAATTAACGAGAAACTATATCAAATGGGAGCCAAAACTAATTAATAAGAGACAGTCATGTTCTAATAACAAAAAGAACTTAATCAGGCAAGATATATTTTCACAAAACTTTTTAAGGTAGGTTTAAACTGAGAAAATCTCGCTGAAAAATATGTTCAAATTGATTGAAGTGGTTTCTACATTTTCTTTGTTCATGAGAACGTTTTTGTTTGTTTTAGGACTCAACAGACCCAGTTGATGTAGAAAAGTGTGGTAGCGCGAGGAAAAATCATCTGTTTCAAGATTCTGGAAGTCGTGCTGGCAGTCAATGTGGTTTACAAACACCGGAAAAATCGCAAGAGGAAATCGTTGCTCCTTCCCTCCAAAATTCTGAGGCATCAGTCTTCCAACCTCGACATCACAGACCTGCATCCGCCAAAGGACAGAGGGTGAAAAGAGATGGTAGTTGTTTGACATCATTTTGTTTCTACGTATTTTAATCACGACCTCTTGATGACTAATTAACCCAAATTTCTGGATCATCAGAATTAATCTTAAACGTTTACAGATCATATACGAACTAATATAAGCGAAAAATTTTGTTTTAAATCATGTCTTCATCAATAGTGATATCACTACCGGTACACCTACCATCTTAATGTGCATTTATACTTTTTTACAGACCATATTTAGCTGTACAATCTATCTCATTATCAACCAAACTTGCGGTCATTGGTTTAATAATTTTCACATATGCGTATGGGTATTTCCGTAAATTACACTGAAACATGAAGATCCAATTGAAAACGATATTTTTCGCTTATATGCGTTGTTCTAGTTAACAGTTTCCTAACTTCTACTACTATAAATAATAATAGATACTTCCCTAGAATCATTTACTCTTAAATAATGTGATGATATATTCCAGTATCTAACAGGTTAAATTGAGGTATTAGGTATTTGGCTTCTTTCAGTTATATTCTAATCAGTCAATTAGTTTGAATAGGGCTGTTCACCAGTCAAACCAATCTTACTAGTTATTAAAAACGAATTAATATGGTGCAGAAATCTTTCAGAATAGACTCGATGCTCAGCTTTTCTTTTCTACTAAATCCATGCCTAAAAAAGACGAATTATAGGAAATCAATTGGTTTCATTAAAGTCTTAAATTGTTTTACTTATTTGTGTAAACTGTCAATTGATATTTAAACCAATATATAGTCTTTGATAGGTTGTAACTGGATAAAGAGGGTTGTTCTCGAATAGAATATACCGATTCAAATGCATGATAAATGATTTTAGATAATAACGCCTACTTTAAAGACAATTCTATGGAAGCTTCATAATGAGCTATGTACAGTGATAAATAATTAGAAAGCGGACCAGTGCTATAAGATATCAACTGATTTAGTAAATTTCCAAAGTGATTAATGTGTCCGAACCGAGAACTTGTTGATTGAATCGACCTTGAATCCCATGAATAATAGGCTTCAGAAAACTTGAGCACTTGGACATAAACTATTGATAATTATTTGTATAGGTTTTGCGGAAATATCTATATCCGAAGTGATGCTTATCCGTTAATTATTGTTTAATCTTGTCAGATGTAAAGATGTCAACCGATCAACAGGATAGTAAACGTGAACCAACTGAAAAGTAAGATAAAATATTTTAAAGTTTTTAAAAAACATCGATTTTATACCTTTTAACTAAATTATCTTGGTAAAGCTATAAGTTAGTCATCTGTATTTTATTGAACTACAGATTGAGCAGATAGTTTACTAATAAAATGATCTGGATGTTCTCGCTAATGATTGCAGATCATTTTTAAAATATTCATTATAAAGAAGTTGGTCAATATCAAATCAACATCTTTGCCTATATATGAAATATAATTAATTTCGAATCACCATTTCAATAAGTGAGAAACATTCAATGAAGTAAACGGTTTATTTAGACTGTTAAATTTCATAAATTACATAAGCAACTTATCTTAGACAACTAATGAAATAAATAAAATACTGGACAGTTGGTTAGTGCTAGTAGTTAGTTTATCATTACTATTATTACTATTATTATTATCAAACAATATGTTAGACTGTATACAGCATCAATAATTGTATTGTTCGATACTGTCGAGACAGTCGATCAACTTAAATATTTTACGTATATGTTAAAAATAATACAAGTTTATGGTAGAGAAACTTTGTATTATTCAGAATATTATACTTATATAAGCTGAGTAATTTAAGTTTTTGAGTTGAATTTGTCTGAAAAAATTAGAGATGAACTACATTTTAGATAATTCAAAATCATTTCCAAATCGCTCTACTCTTCTTAACAATACAATTTAATTAAGATAATTAATACCCAACTACCGACATTATTCAGAAGTGTATATTTAACACTTATTTAGTAATATTAAACTAAAAAATAATCTAGAATAAGTTTTGATTACTGTGATGATTGAAGTATCCTAAAAATTTATACTTTAATTGTCAAAAGATATGATATTCATTATTACACTCAAAATCGTCTCTATTGAGATGGTTTGTTTGCTGAAGTATATTATGCTTTCAATAAGTTTTCTGTCAACTGTTACGGGAGGTGAAAAATTGTTCAAATCATTCTTCATAAATAGAAGATATTAATTTAATAGTTGAATTCATGAGCCAATTGAAGCTAGACTACCATGAAAAATTTGGAAGCACTGGACGACCGTTTCGTCATTTCATGGGACTCCTCAGCAGTGCGCACCCGCGAACCCGTCCCGCTAGATTTGAGTCCAGGGCATATCGATCGCAGGCAAACGCTTAACCTCCAAATCACTGAGCCGGTATCCAACGGTGTTAATGCTTAACTTCAAGCAATACACGAAGTTGCGCCGCCATCTATCATTGTCTTCAGTGAGTTACTATCTCACAACAGACCCGGTTGAACTCCACTGGTTACTGCTTTTCACTATAACTGTACGAAATACCTATTGTTGGGCAAATGATGATTATAACCAGTGCTTTCAAGTTTTTCATGGTGGTCTAGCTTCAGCTAACTGATGAATTCAACTATTAAATTACTATAGTACTCCCGAATCCCTTTCTGGGAAGACATTAATTCGATGAAATGGCTTATTTTCGAGTATTCTAAACTCAAATAAATTATTGTCCTTAAAAAGTTTGGTTTCAACAAAGACTACAAATTTTTTTTAATAGAAACATCTATAATAATAAAATATATTATTTATTATTAACATCCAGCCCAATCCCCCAAATTATTTAAAATTATAAAGCTCAACTTTAGCACTAAGACTTTAAAAAAGTATTTGTGTAGTTGTTCGTCAGTAAACATAATATACAAAGAGTAGAAATTCTCAGGAGAATTCCTTGTCATGAGTCATAGCCATTATGATAATAAACACAAATCAAGTAAAGGCAATTTAAACGACAGACAGTATGAAATAAGGAAATGAAAAAACAAAAAATGGATCAGAGCCACTTAATGTATGAGTTTTAAAGGGAACTAGGCGTTCAAGGGAAGATTTGTATTATATTTCCCAGTTTTACAGTTTAGAACCCTAAACTGCGAGTGCTTTGTTAGTACATCAATATCTTTTTGGAAGTTATTTCAAACTCTTAAACATTCATTTACGGATTGAGTTTTAGACCAGGAACTAAACATAAAATTACACATTAAGATTATGGAATACATAAGCTTCCACTTTTAGGATTACCTTATAAGCCTAGGGAATAATAAAACAGCTCCGAAATTTTAGGTATAAAATAATTTCTTAAGCGGTTCCTCAAATGATTTACCAGAAATATTAGTGACTATATCGCCTTCAGAGTTTAATTTTGATTTTGTATATCTAGTTTGTGATAGAAAAATACAAAACTCAACACATTGTTTGTCAAATTTTCTTCACATAAATTGCTTTTTGTTAGCTCAAGATCGGTACCACCTCGCCCAAGACGTTCTGGAGATTTTATAATTGAAGATAATCACAAGTAAGCGCTCGGTCTTATAAATGAGATATTCAGCATTGGATTTTGTTTAAAACGTTTAGGTTTTTTAGGTAAATGATCTTGTATTACTTTACAAGATTCGCAAACTTTCTCTTTTAACATCAAATTTAAAAGAAGATAACTGTGCAGTTGAAATTTCTGATGAACGATGAATAACAAAACTATAATTTATGGACGAAGCAATCAGATCTAAGATTTTAAATTTTAGCGCGAAATTCCTTCATTCACATGGCTAAATTACATTTTTTCACTATTGCTGTTATCATTTTATAATGAAGACCTTTATTCTGCATCATAATCCTATCTCATAACTCTAACTTCAAGTTTTGATTCCTCACACTAATTTATAACCTAATTTAAAATGTAATAAGTGATTGAAGTTTCCAAAGAATTCTCTAGTATCGCTCAAAAGTCGTCCGTAAATTATCATCTTGCCGCAAAAACTAATTAATTCGTTTATGAAATTGAGTTTATTTGCCTTTGAATGATTCATTATTTCAATATAATCACTTGACTAATTCCCTTGACCCCATAGGCTTATTTCTCCATAGTTATTGATTTCAAATGATATTTTTAAAATAACGTCTTCGACTTTTCTAAGTCTACTTTTTTTCGTCAGTTACATACGACTTTGATTTTCCCTGCTCATTTTGAAAATATTTTCGTCACAGAAAAAATGTTAGATTGATAAGGTTTATTAATCTATCTCGGTCACTAATTGTGTTGCACATTTTTAATGTACATTTCTTTTATTTCAAAGCTCATTTATACCAAATTGGATCTGTACCTGCTCCGATAACGTTTTTGTAGTATGTGATTATTTCAATATTATCGTAGTTTAAATTAATTTGTGACCTAGTATACTTTAGGTTGAAATCCCTTTCAAAATATTAATTTTAGCAACGTCACTAATATACACACTTTACTGATGAGCGCTAAATGTTATCAAAGAAATTCGAACACCATTCTCCGACTGTTTTCAATACTCAACATTATTTGTTTTCTTCAAAACACCTTACCTATGGTCTACTACAAATTTACTTTTTCTGCTGATGTTAACCTTTGTATCATTTATATATATGGAAACGGTAATTCCTTTCGATAACTGATGTAGATTCTATTCATGTGTGATATTCACTCAGGCGATTAATTCTAAAAAAGTATAAATTCCATCAGTTTATCTTTTCCGATTTACTAGTTAGAATTTGATCTTTGATAACGAAGAAATTAGATAAGATGCTTAATTGTATATTTTGGATAGACTATAATACATTTAAATAAGAAATTCTTTAAGTTTCACTCTTCATTGAAATAATTCAGTAATTTGTTCTCTTAACAAGTTTAATTATCTTTCTATACACAATTAGTTTTAAAACGTTTTGAGATAACATTTATTTCTGTGTAATTAGGATACTATTTTGAATTTATTTTGTTGTCATTGATCCGATCAACAATGTACTGTTCTCTAATTGGCGGTATCATTGCGCAACAAGTTACAACATATTTTTAAATGAGAATCGTCATTTTATTTCTCTATATTTTAATAAAATTATATTTTGTTGTCTGTCATAATACAGTTTAATTTCAATTTTTTTGTCTCATTCCCCATATAATATTTAGTTGCTTAGCTACATTTAAAATTCTTATTTTTGTTTTTATAGCATTGAAATTACATAATAAAAGGAATGTACAACTCCTAAATTTGATTTCTTTTAATACTACTACTACTGGATTCCTTAAATGACAAGAATCGAGATCAATCATTGTAGTGTAGATATATTCGTTCTCTATCCTTCTCTAAATTTAACATCTCAATATAATCACTTTTTCTAGTTTTCATGAATTCTTCTGAGAATGCTTTTTATGCCTAGTTTTTTTATTATGAAATTCGATTATCTATTCCTATTGTAGTAACCGTCTAAAATGTTTGAATTCATCACAAAGCTTTTTAACAGCATAGTTAAAATAATACAATTCAAACCCTAAATCTTAATACATACAATTATATCAAAGAAAAACTATGTGTGAATAAATTTTTTATAAACAATATAAATAAATTATTATTATGCTTTTTTATCAATTAGACAAGTGAATATGACATGTATATCTGGACTTATTATTTCTGATTCACAACAAGATACAACTGATGAAGAACACGATGATGATAATAATGATGATAAGAAATTTGTTAGCGAAGAAACTCCTGGTAATATATCAGCTGATATTTTAACAAAACAGTGGGATAAAACTGAGCCAGAAGATAATCATGAACATGGTAAGCTTATTTATCATGACATAAACATAAATTTTAAAAAAAGCTACCCGTAAAATTATCATCAACCACAGAAAAGGTTTCTAATACCCATTAATTTCTTCACTTGATAATGGCTGTGACTGAAAACATTTTAAGGTATTATTAGTTAAAGTTGTAAGCTTTGTTGTCTGTTGATTTCCTCAGTTTAATCAGATACTAGTTGAACATCAATAATTGATGGAAGAACTTCAAAAATTACTTATTTATTCTTTTGTAAAAAATCAAATTAGAAAACTGATTTTAAAAATTCTCTTCATGAAAACTATCAAGTAGTTTCATTGAAATGTCATACATACTGATAATCACTCTTTTCATTTCCGTATGTCTTGGTTTGTTTAATATTTGTGTTGAAATTTTATGTATATACTAGAGTAACGTTTATAATTCTACGGGAAATTTAAATTCATTATCAGAATTAAAGTAAATTACTACTTAAATCAAATCTCTGCTTAACTGTTATCGAGAGCGTTTTAAACAAAGTCTAATAGATATTCAGTTTTCCCTTTTGAATATACGACTAAAATAGACAACCCGATTAGATATCAATTCACATTTAACTTTGTTTTTTTATTTTTGTTTATTTTAAGTTGTTACAAATAACCCTCGTTGTAAAAAGTAAGATACAGTCATTTTTTAAGATGGTGGTCGGAAGTAGTCAACAGGAAACTCTGGACCCGGGTTTCGTGCTACTTGGCACTTGTCAGCAAAGTGTACCTGTAATCTCAAGGGATCTGGTGGGTTGTCCGGGCTGCGACTGACCTTCTGTAGGACTGAGATGTAATCACAATTGGTTGGTCACTGGTGATGATCAATCAATTGTGATTACAGTCTTTTTTTACTTTATCAAATAACAACCCATACCCAGTAGTACCACTCGATTAAACCTAAAATCACTCACATAAAGAGCTTCAGTCTTTCTTAAGATAATTAATTTAATATCCAACATGTTTATGTAGGCATCATAGTGATCATGTCTTGATAAATGAAAAATGTAAATGAGATTCTTTCTTTTTATGTTAATATTCAACAATACTAGGTGGTTTAGTCACTAAAATATTACAGACGAAAAAAGAATATGAAAATGTCAATACAATGAATAAAGAAAGTTTAAAAGTACAGGTTTGTTATCTCTATTTTAGTTACAACTTAAATATAATTCATTTTAATTTCTTCAAGTAAAATTATTGTATCGTTTAAAGTAATTGATAGTTAGTAAAACATCAAGTTTTTTTCAACTTATGCAAGGAAAACGAGTGAAATTCGATATCATTTCCATTTGAATGATTCAAATATAAAATGAATGTATTCCAGTTTCTGACCATTAAAACATCTTAGTTTAAAAACGCTACATTTTCTAATCAAGTCAAAACATGCAATCTTGAGGCTTAATTGACAAATATGTTTCCAGTTTTGCCTTATTTATTTAAAACTAGGTTTATTTTTAATCTATCATGTACTTTATTTTCAAACAAATTGATATATGATTAAATAGGTCTTATCATCCACCATATGTAATTAAGATATTAGACTATCAAAAACCCAAGGTTCCTCATTTACAAACAGCATTGATATTAGGTATTACTTATTCCATATTTTATTCATGCTAGTGTAAAGCTGTGAATTTATCACTGATCAATTATCTGTCTTAAACTGGCTTTGCTCGAAGCTTTACAGTTTTACAAGTTAAGCAATCCATGCGCTACTGATCAACTATTCATTCAGTGGCTTAATAACTGAAAATACATTTTTGCAAGTATGCAACTTGATTGTTTATTGGTCACTGTTAGTCAACCTGCACATAATATCGCCAAGACGATATTTATGGACGAACCAATCACGTATAAGATAACTGGTCACGGATTTCGGCGCGAAATTCACTCATCCATCTAAATACATAGAGTTTTGGCATTATAACTGATATCAGCTCGTGATGAAAACCCGAAATTTAATTCCTAAGCTTAATCGTCAACTGTAAATTATAATTATAATTTCATACACAGGTTCATAACCCTCATTTGGTCCTGGTTATTAAGCGGACACTCTCAAGGTCAGTCTAGCGTCGCCCAAAGGTCGTTCATAAATTATCGTGTCACGTTATTACCATAAGCTTTACTCAGGATTATTTTTTGGTACAATAGCGAAGTCACAGCACAAAGTATTTCAAAAAGTTTCCGTTTCTTACTTGTTGGTCGATCGTGACGATAAATACTAAGTGGTCGTCAGTTGGAAGTGCAGTAAATGGATATCTAAATAATGTACATTCTTTTCGTTGCATACTGCCAGCAACCACGATATCTCTGATTGGGCCACATGTAACTTGTACAATGAAAGATAGTACACTTTATAGAAACGTACCTGAATATGTTATGCGATTAATAACCATAATGATGCATTAAAACAAACAAAATTGGATAGCTCGTTGAAATATTTAGATGGCAGGAACAAGTGGCCCAGATGTTCATCTAACTGATATAACTGCTTGATGTTTTATTCACTTCAACTTTACATACAAATTCACTTGGTTAATTACATATCTGAAAGATTGTTTTATAGTCTCATTTTCTAAACTATTTTAATTTAACACAACTGGCAGCAGTGTTTTTGTAAATATCAATAATTTTCCTGGAAACTTTTGATATTTCTAGTGATTTTAATAACTTAAAGTAGTTTTAAAATGTTGTCAGATAAACCCAAATTATATTTATATTCATAAAAACTATTCTTCAAAGAAATATCAACTTCCTAATGAAATCTTGATAACCTACTTATTCGGTACATTTCTTCACATCTACATAAGTTAGATAAAGAAAAAGAAATTAGAGAACATAATCCTATTACATCTTAGTACCTTGTCTTTGTTACTATGTACCAGGATTAAATTTGATTTTTTTAACACATTAATCTAAACTAAGTGATGGGATTAAAAACGCTTCATATCTTTCTACGTACTAATTCTTTCTTCCTGTACTATATCTTTATATACAATCTTTCTTTTATATATTACCACCATTGAATTAACTACTTATATGAACCGAATGTTCATCTTGCTGTGCTAATGTGGTAAGTAAGTAAGTAAGTAAGTAAGTAAGTATGAACCGGATGTTCATCTTGCTGTGCTAATGTGGTATGGCAACTTGGATCGATGCATATATGTGCCTAATTCTACGTTGTAGCTGACTGACTGAATCGATGAAATTCACAAAGTTTGATCAGTTGAATGTTTATGTGGATTTCTTCCAGAAATTGTGAATTTTCATAAAAAAGCTCGATTTTCGGTGTTGTGATGTTTTATGGTTTACACATGTTTACTGTATAATTTATACTATTAGTATCGGCTACAGATTTCAGAACCACGTCTAACGGTTTTATTAGTTTATGCTAATGTTATTGATGATATGTTAGTTTTCTTAAATTATTTACTATCATCATTTTCAGTTATAAGTTGTTATTAATTGTTTTATTAAACTGCCATTTAATCATTTGACTGCAAGAACTAGTTATAAACGATTGTTAATAATTAGAAGTGTTATCCAGTCATTAAGTCTTTTATTATAAACACCAAAAAACAATAACTTTTCTTCTCTCAATCAAACCAAATGATTTATTTTATACACATTTTATTCAATAAAAGTCTAGCGGATTGAATGAAGCAGCTAAAGAACGTGAGAAAGCTTTATTAAAAAAAGAAATTAATCGTTTATGTGATTCACTGCAAACACTATCCCGTTCAGCTATTCCATTGAGTAAACTGATGGATTTTGTTCAAGAAGATTTAGAAACAATGCAACAAGAATATGAACGTTGGAAAACTGAAAATCATATACTTAAATCTCAATTGAAACAACAGGAAAAGTAAGCGTTAGTTTCATCAATATTCTGCTTTCAACTATGATCATTTAGCGTAAACTGTAAAAAGTAAGAGTCAATAATGTTATCCAGAAAGATAATGAAAGCTCCTCAAATCAGCCACGTAACTCAGAGTACCCAAAAATGTCGAAGAACTCATTTAAGCTACGAATCTTTTCCATTATATATATTTAGTGCTTATGTAAATGCTTGGTTAAGTATAACCTCTGTTTTGATGACATACTGATTCAATTTAATTCTTAATAACAAAAATGCAAACTCTCAAATCAATTTATTAGTTTTTGAAACTTCATTTAATTTATCAGATGTTAATTAATAACAGAATTTGATTAAATATTTACTATAACATTTAATCAACATAAAACTGCTTAGTATACTGTTTCCCAAACAGAGATTTCATTTTAAGCTTGAGGTATTACTTACAATAAATCATCAATATTAAAGTTGTAAGCATAAAACTAACACAGAACTTAATTATTCCCAATATGCTGAGTAGAGTGTGTAAAACGTCGTGTATATATTCAGTGTAACGGTTAAAATAGAATTCTTGTATCTTTGATTTTTTAATGTTTGGGATGGATGTTAGCAGATAATTTTTAGTTGCTGTGCTTTAATAAAGTGAACAACCGTTTTATACATAATATCAATAATAACCTAGTTTAGATTTATATTTTCATAAATGCAACTGTATATATTACTAAGACTTTAAATAGCCTAATACAGATAAACCTTATCTGAAGGAAGAGAGATATAATGTAATTTATATTAATTATAGTACATTAGGTAAATAGCAATAAGCGATAAATTGTTGTGTATTCTGAGAGTAGATTTCTACTTTATGTCTCTTATTCTCACCTACTAAGAAGATAAAATTTGGCTATGTTTCTTGGACGTTTCTACCACATTGAAATGTGAGCAAAGAAAAAGCTAAAAATTAAAAGGGCCAGGTACAAAATCATAGTACTGAGTGTACCACAGTTTGACAGAATTCATGTTCATTACATAGAAAGATGGAATTTTCAACGACACTTTCTTGTGTAAGACGGATAGCGTTGTCATAAAGGTAGACCCCAAGGTCAGCATTAATAATCATACCTAAAGAATTTCTGTGACCAGTAATAGAGTATTAAAAGCAAATAAAGATGATTACTCAAAAAGAGTGACACGTGATTGATTTGAATTAGTAATTGTTATATTAGGATGAAGATTGAAGGATTGGCAACTCCTGGAAGTAATGCATTATTATTGTTATCATTATTATGTATATTATTACTGGATAATTATTAGGAATTAAATTGCTATGTCTATGTATTTCGTTTATCTGAAATTTCTGGTGAATTTAAAAAACAAATGTCACACGAATTACTATTCCTGTTAACAGTCTCCCCTTTTCACAGACATTTTTGTCCTGTTTGTGTACGACTGTCATTTTTTATTTTATGATATAATGAGATCCGGTATTTCTGTATATAAACCACGTCTGTTTGAACTGAAGACTTGGTAGATGCTGATTGCTACGTCTGAATTCAACGTTAGGCATATAGCGGTGCTAGCTAACAGTGGATCAGCAGGAACCTAACTGTCGAGTCAAGGTCACTCGTGCTGGTTGGTTATGTAGTTAGGCAAATCAGAGACACTAGATCATAAACCAAATAACAGATCAAATTAGAAGCTGGTTTCGGATTAGCATCTGGGCACATGATATTGGTCACTGTCATTTGAAATAATGCTCTTCCACAGAGTGAGCAAATAAAAGATATTGGTTGTTCCCATACCTTTAACAGCACTTCAATTTATCTTGTTTTTCCAATCACTTTTTCTTCCGTTATACTTCTACAATGCTTCTAATTTAATGTCAGCCGTATTCTGTCTACATTTGTATTTGCAAAAGCAACTGATGCTTTTGAATCTAACTAATGGTTAGCCCAATGAAATCTCCTTTTGGACTAAATGGACGAGGGCATAACCCTTAATGTTCACATTCTGGGGATCAAGGGACTCAAATCCCAGTTGTTGTCTCATGAGAATAAGTAAAGCCCGTATGACCTATGGACAGTTATTTTGTGTCCTAAAGATGCTAATACCTGAGGCATGCTAACTGTTTGTATTCATTTCTAGATTCATCATCTTAAACCGCATTACAGATCAATAGAAAACTCTCAGTCTTCATAAAGCATTCTACCACTTGTCGTTGGGATTGACTGAAATAGATAAATGAGTGCAATTTTTGTTAAAAGTTTATGCTTTAAAAGTGTATGGAGTACTTCGATTGCCGTGTGGAATATATTCCATTTTTACTATTGAAACTATTCAGATTTTGAGTCCTCATTTTCATAAACTAACACGTTATACTACTTAATAAGTAATAAAATGTTAATAAGGTGTTAAATAAACAATGATTCGACTCATTAAATAACACAATATATAATTCATCATTAATTCTGAATAAAAATACTATTTTACGAGTTATTTAATTTTTTTTTATTTGACAATATTATACTACATGATTACTTTATACTTTCAGTTTAACCCAAACATGTATAGAACCCTTGAAAGCTCAACTAGATGAATTAGAAAAATATGCCAAAGAAAAAGAGAAGGCTATTATTAAATGTAAAGCTAAAATATTTCATAACAATGAGCGTATACAAAATTTATTGTTTAAATCATTGGAAAAAGTTTTGTGAACAGTTATTTAAAATAAAATAAATAAATGAACATAGTGAATTTTCATCTTAACATTCTGTTTCATCATAGTGTCGTATATATTTCCACAAAGTTTAATGTTATTTACTGAACAATTTATGAAAGTCAATCACTTTTTAAAAAAATATATATAAACATAAAGAATTTGGAGTTGGCTAAAAGATCTTACTCTCATCTAACCGACCGCGTTCATTTTATTCATTAAATAATTAAAAAGCATTTTCTATCAAGTAATGTTAAAAACTATTGATGAATGATTCGAATAAATTATGAGTTTCTTTGTTGATTATTTCAAGATATTTTATGATATAAATTACTTTGTGTTTTGTTCAAAGAATCTTTTTGTTGTTCATTTCAATTTAATTGATTGCTTTCCCTAAATCTTTATCTGCGATAGATTTTTTGTGAGGTCGATTAAATTTGTTGTCTCATTGTTTTTCATCTTATAATGATATGTGTGATTTCACCAGGAAAACAAACAATCTGTTTTATTAATTGAACATCGTTTTTTTGAAGGAACTTGTTAAACCAGGAGATTGGGATTTACTTTATCGATTTGATACATTTATTTTGTCATTCCACTGGAAATTGATCAACACCATTTGTTGGTGAAAACTTGTTATATCAAATAAATAATAATAAATAATTTTATGCACATACGAATTAAGGAGTTAGAACCGTAAAATATACTTTGAACGTAAAATTATTTAATATAGAAAGCAGAAAACCATTTTTAAGATTTATATTTACTTAAACTTGTATGATATAAATTTTTGGAAGTATTCACTACTAACAAGCACCCATGAAAGAATTTAGGATGCTCCAAGATAAAGGTATGGGACATAAGTTTGTTAATTACGCCAGTGACTAACATTCACTAGACATTTTACTCATTCCTATGTCCTTAATTTACTTCATAATTAGGATGTTGATTTGATATTTGATTTGCTTTTACGTCCATCCAGTCTAAGCTTAAATCTATGTCTACTATGATGTATTTTAACTAACAAATCGGCAGTCATTGAAGTACTTCTAATACATTTGCTTTATTAAAAGAAGTAATGAACATGTGGAAAGAAATTGCTTCGTAATGTTTAAATGAAGCCTCTTAATGATTAATTGCATCACTAAATCTTTAGCAAAATCTTGTCACTCATTCCTGAAAGTTCCGTAGAAAGCTATCAAGTGCTGTTGAGACAAATCGCAGCGTTTTTTGAAACGGTATACTCACCTTCATGAAGGTCATAAAACAAGGATAGACATAGGAATAAACACTATCTTGAATTGTGACGTATAAAACTTCTTTTTCCCCTATTACATCAAATGGTTGTCAGTGAGAAGAACTTTTACATTCTTATCCAAAATCAAATTGTGAATGCGTGCACGTTAGACCCATCATAATCTGCTATCCACTCAGTCAATTTTGGAAGAACATTATGGTTTTCCAATATTCTTGAAACTGTCATAGGCAAAAGAATATTTTACTCAACAGACAAAACGTGTGCCTTCGTATTGACCCTATTTTGACAATGATGACCGAACGATGCTAACAAAATACTGAGCTTATTTCACTCCCGAAATCTTCTATCGACTGATGAAATCGATGCAATATATATCGAAGTCGAATACGGGTACTTTAGATACGTAAATTTGATGCATACAGATGTTCAGTGGCGGACAAAATATAATATATGTAGCTGAAGTATATGTAATGAGTTAGTAATAGATTATATATCTACTCAAGAAATATTGAGATGACCAATTTTTTAAGCTGTTTAAAAATACACGTAAACAGACATTATCAAATACATACGTATAAGGACTCTGAAGATTACAAACAAATAAATGAGTCAAGTGTATAGAATGACTAGTGGTATCCGAATGAATCGTCTACTAATAATCTAGGATAAGCTGATATGAACGTCATAACAGAAAATCCCCTATTGCATACTTCTATGTAGGCATAGAGCAGATTCTTTAATTACAGATTTCAAAGTACACTCCAGTTAATGACAACACATATTTGCTGATGTGAGATCCAATCTTGAGATTATCAAGTAAGGAGAGGTTTGGTATAGTCGTGTTTTCAAATTCTGCATATCTGTGGTCGCTTCAAATCTATATTTTTGTGCAACATAACCTAAAAAGTATGTTGTGAAATCCATTCTTTGTAGTTCGTACGAGAAAGTGTTAAGACGCAAATAACAGCCCCCTAATACGTTTTACACCCAAACAAGACATAATTGGACGGAATGTTGTCAGTGAATATTATCTCCACGGTTTAGTTGTAGAAGTAAATTTTCTTCAAGATGTTGGGCCGTGAATGCTAAGTTACACAGATATCTAAACCATGATGATGTATAATAAACGCAGCCTCTTATTAAGATATTGAATATTTTGGATACTCCAATGCAACTATCAACTGCCACAGTAATCTATAACTAATTATGGGAGCACTTAATACAAGGGTTAGCGTGAACTAAAAAGATAATCAATGACAAATTCGGCGAGACTCTAATTTAGGGACGAGCCAATCAGAAGCGTTTGAGAAATTTCAATTATTAGCCAATCAGAAGACCGTTAGTATAAAGTAAAAATATATTATAAGAAAGTAATGAATTACGGTGGATATTCTTTTTTTACATGATTTAAAAACTTGTTAAGGTTTGATAAAGGTTCAGAGGTTCGTCCATAGGGCTAGGGTTAGTGTGAGGGGTTAGGGTTGTAGCCTCTCAATAATCACCTCTTCTCTAAAATCCGCTGTAAACCGATCGTATGTTAGCATTACGTGTTGAAATTGGCTTCGTGACCCTGAAACTGCTCAAACGCTTCTGATTGTCTCGTCCCTATATTAGAGTCTCGTCACCCTAACCTCAAACCCTAACCCTATGGATGAGTTTCTATAACGTATACATTATGAATTCAGAACCTCTGAACCTTTATCAAACCTTAACAAGTTTTTAAATTATGTAAAAGAAGAATATCCACTGTAATTCATTACTTTCTTATAATGTATTTTTACTTTATACTGTCTTCTGATTGACTGATAATTGTCAAGGTCATTTAAGAGACGTTCAAAGGACGTCCCTAAATTACAGTCTCGCCGACTTTTTTATGTGATGGGATGTCACAATTGCTTCTAACCCCTGATGCAATATCCATGGTATATATATAAAAATCTTTTCTGTTTGTATCTCATCTGGTAATATCCCCTTGTTTCACCCAAAATCACAATTTACTGTTTTCAGTCCCTTCATTTGTCTTTTGTGTCATTACTGTCATTTTTATATCATTATTTACAAACAACTCGTACATGTGTAGGTGTTATGAAGAAACTATTAAGAATTTGTGGTGGTTGAATGAACTAATGATACCTTTGTACTTGTTGAATGCTTGATTTCGAATTCCAAATACAGTATATTCGTTTGTGGTCATCTAGTACTTCTTGATCCGATTACGTTATTTCTGGGATTCTTAGTTCATACTATGATTCATATACTCCTAATAATCACAGAATTTCATGACAAATCATCCAAAACCCAACTGTTTCACCAAGATTTGCATTACATTCACAATATTTTAACCGGTTCTGTGAAGTTCAGAAAGATGTAAAGTACTTATATGTATGAAGCATGGGTGATTTCATTGATACTTAATAGGTTGCAAAATCCTATTTCGGACAGAAGTTCATTGATGAAACACATGAACTGGATTATGGCTTTACTTCATGGACACTTGCTCCACTGGGTTGAATAGCGAATAATTCGAGCGTAAGTTTGTACGGAGTCTCGGAACTGGTAAGATGTCTTTTTATGTGACTGAGTATTATGTGGTGGATTACAAAGAGTAAGAAATGCAACTTAGGAGCATGTAGATAAACTCCAACTCGAGATCAGCAAGCCTGATCCAAAGAGGCTAACTTCATTTCGTGACACCTTAAGTAGTAATTTCTATCTTTTTAATGCCTTAAAATAGCCTTAATTAATCTTAACTTGACATCTTTAATTTTTACAGGGCCTTTATACCTACGATCCCTGTGAAATAAGACACCATATTCCAGGATGGGTCGCATACGTTCTTTATTGTCATTTTCAGGTCTTTCCCAGTCAAAATTTTTCGGACTTATTTGTTTCTTAAAACTGCAATGTTGCTTCTATTTCACAATATTTCGCTGACTGTACCATTTTGTTTTAGTCAACGATGTACTCTGACGGCACCATTCTTTTCATTCAGTAGGTATTAAACATTCTTTTTCGTAGGAGTTCGTTTCATGGCTTGAAATCCATGACGTTTGTGAACCTTTTGCCAATCATAATTGAAGTAAATTGGACAAGTTCCGTATATGAGTATGTTACAGTGAATTATGTGTAGGCTAGAAAGTGTTTACGCCATGGTTGAATCTTGTATATGGCAAAGGGATTTTAAGAGATTTTAAAGCTATTTCATAATCACTTTAGTTTATTTATCATATGTTTTAAACAAGATGATCAATAGATGGCGGTTATACAGCATCCTTAGTTCAACATTTATTGACTCAGCTGTATCCTCGATTAGTGAACTTATTAACAAGACTGAACAAAACTCACGATGAATATGATATCAGAAGATCACCTAATGTAATATTTTTTCTAATTCACTTGGTGACCGGTTTCTAACTAATTTCCCATTTTGTATGTGTTAAAACTATTGTTGAAATAGTCGCCGTATAACTTCCATAGAGAAGATTGTGATGCATTGACTAGCTTAGAAAATGCAACAAATGACGTGATGCGTTGTTTAGTTATTATTAACTGGCATCTTTCACCTTTTATCAGAAAGGGGGTTTGTGGAGATTCTGGTATTTTAATAGTTGAGTTCATGACCGCCATGGAAAAATTGGAGGCACTGGACGGCTGTTTCTTCCGACTATAGAACCCCTCAGCAGTGCGCATTCACGATCGCGCCCATGCTATTTGAACTCAGGACCTTCAGTCTCGCGCAC